GTTACACACACACACACACACACACACACACACACACGTAGGGCATTATTTTGATATTGGTATATGCAGTGTTTTTTTCTGGGGGTATGCATACCCCTAAACATTTTGTGAATCTTTGTACTTTTGTCCATTTACTGTATTTCTTTTTCCTGATTTGAACTATAAAATGGTAAAAATGAGAGTACCCCTAGAAAAAAAGCACTGGATATATGTGAGGATATGCAGAATTGGCTTCCAGGCCCAATTGTGATATACACAAAATCTAGGTTGAGAGGGAGGCCTGAGAGAAGCCTGTGAGTTGCCTGGCAACCACATGGGCCTCTATTGGGAAGTTGGCCTCAGTGTTCGAGAGCCAAGCCCTGGAGCTGCTGGTCCATGTTGCCCCCTTTAAGTTATTTAAATATCTCTCTCCCAAATTTTCCTTTTGCCTCAGCCGCAAGACAGAAAGCAGGGCCTAGGTGTTATTGTGAAGCATTATTACAAATGTTCTTGGTTCATTTGCCCCTTTCAAAGCAATATATAGAACACCCATTCCGTTGAGGTAGCCAAGTCCCACATCTAACAAAACCATTTCTCTTGAGGTGGAGAGATCATCTACTTCCTCCAGCATAACTTTTGCCATTGCAGGGGAATGCAGACATCCCAGATCTTCTTGATCCACAATGGCTTTTATGGTGCATGTCTACTCAGAAGCAAGTGCCAATGTGTTCTAGGCTTACTCTCTCTTGGTCTCTCTCCTAATAAGACTTACAAACGTTCTTGCCATACCTGCCATTGCATCTCTATCTCCAGCTCTGGTTAAATCAATAACATTCTCTATCACCTTTCCCTTGTGCTTTTATTCACAGGAAACACTTTCCCCCAATGTAGGAACACTGGCTTGCCATTTGCAAAAGGGGTTCTGTTCCTGCTTCGTGTCTTAACTGGACTTTCCCTTTACTTTTTTTTAAAAAGAAAAACAACAACTGAAAAATATAAAATTAAAACGTCACTCCCAAATCTGCATCTTCCATCCTCTAGCTTATTTTAATTTTGTTTATATTTTTACACGCATTAAAAGGTTTACTATCCAAAACGAGTCTAAGTGGTCTCACTTGTCGGCTAAGTAACTCCATAAATCAACCAGAAGTGTTAACATCTACACCACAGCCCGAGCCATCAATCTTGCCCCATTTTACAAGCGAAAAACAAGGGTTGCTGTGGGGTGGGTGGGGAGAGAGAGAGAAAGGAGGGGTGGGGGTAGTGGGAGCACTAAAGGAAGCGTAGCTGCTGGCCAGCAAAAGACCGGGAGGGTTCGTCTTGCGGAAAGTTATCCGGAAAGCCAGGCACATTGCCAAAGGAACGGCATCCAAAACATCAGACTCTTCAAACTCTTCCGTCCCAAAGGCAAAGGCTCCGAAGGAAACAATGCAGATAATAAAAGGGAGGTTTAGCGTTAAAGGCAATATAGTCTTGGGTGCTGCTACATGGAACTGTTTCCGGACAACTTACCCTGGGATCTGTTCTAGGGAAGGAGTATTGATGAGCTGTGCTAGGAGAAATGGGCAACTTGTTACCTACGGCTAACTCCCAGGAGTCTCACCTCCAAAGAACGGGAAGCCATAGTTCCTGCCCATGGAGAATGGGAATTAGACAAATTCATTGAGGATAAAGCCACCAGTGGCTAGTAGCCCCGATGGATATGCCCTTCTGTTGTATGGGACAGTGTACTTCTTAATACCTCGAAACTGCAGGAGGGAAGAGTTTCTGTTGGGCTCAGGTCCTGCTTGTGGGTTTCCCAGAAGCATCTGGTTGGCCACTGTGAGAACAGAATGCTGGGCTAGATGGACCACAGGCCAGATCTAGCAGGCTCTCCTTATGTTCTTATGATGGAAGCCACAGAAGGCCAGAAGCGGATGACCTTCTCAAGGAGGTTCTCTCACATCATGTCAAAGCTCTCTTTGATCGTACAAGCATAAGGATAGCAATGCTTAGCATTTATACAGCACTCAAAACTTCACCAGTCGATACCACAACCCCTATAAGGTAGGGGAGTATCATTATGTCCATAATCTAGAAGGGAAGGGAAGGGCTGAGAGAGTGAGTGGTATACACCAAAGGCCACTTAGAAATGAGATTTGAATTGAGGGGTTCCTTGCCTCTGGCCTCCTATGCTGTACTCTGCACTACACCACACAGGAACACAGTCACAGCCAAGAGTACATGCATATGCAAATGGCAAGGCCACATGGGAGAAGGTAGTATTGTACTGAAATACACCCTGGTACATATCACCCATTTCAGACAGAGCGGCATAGGAATGTTTGCATGCATGCACATGAAGTCACACTTGCGTACAGCAACACACACACACACACACACACACACACACAGCGAAACCCCTCTTTCCATGTAATGAGCCAAAGCTTTGGAGAAACACAATAGTAATATCCTAGGTAAAAGGTAAAGGTAAAGGGACCCCTGACCATTAGGTCCAGTCGTGACGGACTCTGGGGTTGCGGCGCTCATCTCACTTTATTGGCCAAGGGAGCCGGCGTACAGCTTCCGGGTCATGTGGCCAGCATGACTAAGTCGCTTCTGGCAAACCAGAGCAGCGCACAGAAACGCTGTTTACCTTCCCGCCGGAGCGGTACCTATTTATCTACTTGCACTTTGATGTGCTTTCAAACTGCTAGGTTGGCAGGAGCAGGGACCGAGCAACGGGAGCTCACCCCGTCGCGGGGATTCGAACCGCCGACCTTCTGATTGGCAAGTCCTAGGCTCTGTGGTTTAACCCACAGTGCCACCCGCGTCCCAATATCCTAGGTACATCAACATTTAACACTGATCTACCCACACGTACAAAATATGTATCTGTGGAGGGTCAGCGTTAAAATATGTATGTGCGCACACACAGAAGCAAATCATTTTGCCCCACTCCCAAAGAGCATGCAAAACATCAAAGGCACACTAGCGTTGCACACCCATGTTTATGGGAATACTCATGGGAGAGATACGTGTCCAGCAGAAATCTCAAATGTGGCTCTACGGTGGCTGAGCAGAATAGTGCTCAGCTGGACCCCACAGACCAGCTGGCATCAACCTGGCATGACCCAGATGGTTCGGACCACAGCTCTCATTGGCCCCGGCCAGTCCTGACTGGAGCTGACGGGAGCTGTAGCCCAAATCGTGTGGAGGGCACCAGCTTGGGGAAGACTGCTGTAGAGAGGCGCTCATCCCCAAACGCCAACATCTCCCCCTTCCCCCACAGCCAGCCCTAGATAGGTTGGAGAGCCCCCCAAGCGCCTCTTTGGTGCGGCCATCCCATCCATGCGCGTTTGTGCAGGGCAAGGCGATCTCTCTCTCTCATTCTCTCTCTCTCTCTCCCCTCTCATCTTTTCATGCACTCTATTTCTCTTCCCCTTTCTGAAAACAAGTGAGCTGTAAATACTGTTTAACCTTCTCCCCCCCTGCCCCCTCCCCTCCGCACTATAAAAACACAAATATGCCATAACTCAGCGGGCCCAGCCGCCGCGCCTCCAACATGCCCTGCTCCAGGCCTCTCAGGAAGGTCATAACAAACGACTTTCCGATTCAGTGCTCCTGAAATAATTTTGTGTATTAAAACCTGAATCTGCACTTTCTGGACCGAAAGCCTCTCTTAATTATGGCAGGCGTCCTTGGGGTGGACAGTGATCCTTCACTACAGCACCGTTAGCCAACCGGAGAGGCGGGAAGTGCGGTGCCCCCCACCCGGGGGGCTTAGCACTCCACCATTGCCCATCGCTGCCTCCTCCCTCCCTGCTTGCTTCCCCCCCACCGCCCCCACCTGCCCCCACCCTCTCCCTCCCCACCCCCACCCCCGCCTTCCCTTTGCCCAATCTGTTTTCAAAGTGTGTCTGTCCTTTATTAAATTGTTTTCTTTTCCACATTATCAGTTGCCATGGAGACCTCATCTCTCGGATTATTTGAATTTCATTATATCTATTGATTTGGGAGCATTTCATCTTTTTTATTGTTTTTCTGTCAATTTTCAAAACGAATAACCATCTAATTTGCGTCAGCGCTGATTATGTTTGTCCCTCAATAGAGGTCGGCAGCTGCGTCGAGGAAACAAATCAATGGGAAACCATCATAAACCTCCCCAGTACGATCTCCAGGATGTGTGGGTGACATTCCACACTGGCAAAAGACACTCATCACATCGAAACTTCTTTCTTTTACCTCCCCCACCTCTCTCTTTTTTTCTTTCCTTAAAAAAAGAGGGGGGGAAATCCAATCCTAACTTCGGGCTTGAAAAAAGCTTAAAAAGAAAAGCTCAAAACCAAAACCCTGATATAAACCATTTTGGATAAAGGTGTTGGAAGGGGGTGGGGAGAGAGAACCCTAAAAGGAGAAAAACAACATCAGCAACCCAAGAAGGCTATATTTCTTTAATAACACACACATACACATATTTTTTAAACCACATGAAGAGAAATTAAGAGAAAGAGAGGGGGAAAGTGAAGTGCAATTTGCAAATTGCTTACTATGTTTTTTTTAAATAATTTATGCAATTTTAAGCATTTACGTATAAATTTTTTAATAAGCCACCCCGGAGCAAAATGGCCATTAACATCCTAACGTCCTTCTGCCCGATGGACTTGTGTGCAGGATCAATTTCCGAGAGTACTTCCCCTTTTCTTTATGACATGATAAAACCTTTTTAAAGCAACTTACACAAATAGGGAATTTTTTTCCTTCCCCCTCCCCTTTTATAACAGCCTCCACTGATTCACTGGGGAGAGAATGTGCATGTATGCAAGTGTGTGTGTGTGTGTGTGAGAGAGAGAGAGAGAGAGAGAGAGAGCTGCGCTGGGGAGGGCAGTTGGCAGTAAGACAGACCCAACCCTAACTGGAACGGACCTGGCTGTCCTTCTAACAAGGGCATAAACTTTCATTAGCGATGCACACAGTCAAAGGCAATTTAGGGAAACGCGCAGTACGGAAAAATAAAACCTCAGCATTTTATATATATATATATATTTACACACACACACACACACACACACACACGGAGTGGCTCTTCGCCTTCGTCCAGGGGGCTCTATCCTTGAGCAAAACTCTCTGGCCAAAGTGACCCACACTGGCCGTGGGGAGGGCAGCAAAACTGCAAGGGGGCAGGAAGTAAGTGTGTGTGTGTGTGTGTGTGTGTGTGTGTGATTGTGGGGAAGAGAGTGCACAGGAGTAGGCAAGGATGCAGTCAGACCCAGAGAAGCAACTGGACTGAGAAAACACCTAAGAGATGGAAATAATGGGTGTTTTTAACATCTAACATTTTGATGTCCCTCCAAAAACAGGCACCTAGATACTGGACATCGTTACAAAGCCTCGTCCATATTGTCACACTGAACAGACAGCTTCCTCTTAATCAGCCGCCCTCTTGCTGCACAGAATATTCTATCAGCACACAAGGTCCATAGATCCTCAGACCACTGCAATCTTGCCAGTTTGTGCATTTTTAGCCGTGTGCATTTAGAGTGCTTAAAAACTTTGCAACTAGACCACCACAGCCAACTCACAGCGACTACATTTCTGCCTGCAAACTGCTTCCTTCCACCAAGCTGGGAATCCAGAGAATGGCAGGGAGGGAGGCAGGATTCTGGATAAAAGGCAGGTCAACGGTTCTAGACACTGGTGTGCTAAAGCACACGCTGTCACCTCTTTAGCCAGCTTCGCCATCCCACTTCAAGTCCACAGATTTCCTTATTAACAGGAATACATTTCCACCGTGTTGCGTTTGAGCATTATGTAGAGAATATGGCAGAGTTTACCCTCTGCTTTCTAGAGGGTTAGTAGGGCAGCCTCCACCCCAACCCAGTTGATGTTGGACTCCCATCAGCCCCTGCAAGCAAGGCCAAGAGTTGGAAAATGTTTTAGCATCTTAATTTACCAGGGATCTCCAATGCACAGGGAGCAGGGCCAGGTGTAATGTGGCTGGCCCTGCTGCCCTTTCTCATGTGTTTACTAATTTACTAGCTCTTTACTAACTTTTTATAACTAATTCTTGAAGAGGGCTGCAGGAGAAACGGGTGATGTGCAGCCATGCTCTCTAGACCAGCTAACAGTTTTTGGCAAAGGTGTCAGAAGTTACATCAGTGCGAGAGAAGGAAACATTACTGCTCTGTAGGATGTGCAAGGTCCCCAGGGACTTGGGATGGTGCTGATTTTTGCCTGCTGAACTGGAGGGCAAGCAGAAGCACAGACTGGACTTTGTGCTGCAGCCCAAACCACAGTGTGAATGCAGGAAGTATGAAGGCAAACTTCATGAGTCGGAAGAAACGTACCCTGCGGGCCAGATCTGACCCTCGTGGTGTGCAAATGCAAAGGATGTATGTCTGTCACCTATAGACTGCCCAATTTTTTTAAATCTCCTGAACCCCACCAAGCATGAGATTGCCCTGATTTTGGCCAGTTTAACTCAGCTACTCAAAGGAGGTCAGCCAAAGTTGAACATTTCCAAATCATATATATCCATTGACTTTACTGCCTATCTATAGCCGGGGGATAAAAATAGCCGGCTCAACGTGGAGGTGACTTCAGTGCTGTAGGGTTGCCAAGAGCTTCGTGGGCAACTTTGGCAGCTCTGAAACACCACTAACACCAAAACAAGATCCGCCCAGTAAATAATTCTGCATTTGAGCGGGTCACTATTGTTTTTTAGAGGGTTCTGCAAGTATGACCACTTCCTCCCTTTGTGCTGGTATATGTCATAGAAATACCAAAAGGTCAACGTTACGTTCCACCACCTGATTAAATGTTCTAGGAAGCATCTTGAATGGTAGGTAGGATGAAAGAAACATGGTAGTCCTTAATTCAGCTAAACTGCAAGGCGTGCTAGCCCACCTCCTGACTGCTGGTCCTGGAGCCCAGACACTTGGCCTTGTGGGCTGGTGTTTCATGGTAGCTTTTAGGGGGCTCAGCTGTAGGCAATGTGTATCCTGATTTTTAAAAACAAGCAAACAAAAACAAACAAGCATGTATGCATGCATCCAGAATGTCATTCCCCCACAGGGCAAACCCCCCCCCCACGCTGGCAGAAACAGGTACTACTGCAAGTATTTGGTAGCTCACAAGGAGGCAGAAGTGGATATGACTGCAAGACGCGTGGTGAATTCAAGGCAGAGTGGCATGATGTAGCTTAAACCCCAGGCACAAAAGACAGTCAAGGGTTCCGGGGCTCTTTTAACATAGCACAATGCAAAGTGAGTATCATCCCCACCCTTTCTGGTTTAGCATAGGAACGTAGGCAGCTGGTTTAGCCCAAATTGGGCCATTGGGCCATCTAGTTCCGTACTGTCTACACTGGCTGGCAGCAGCTTTCCAGGGTTTCAGACAGGGGACACAGCCAGCCTTTCCTGGAGATGTCAGGCACTGACCCTGGGACCTTCTGCATGCATGTCCTGATGGCCACCAGACTTGTTCAAAAGAGAATGAAACAAATTCATGGATGGGAAGGCTATTGATGGCTAATAGCCATGATGGGTGTGTTCTCCATCCACTGTCTGAGGCTGTATGCCTCTGAATACCAGCTGCTTGGAATCGCAAGTGGAGAGAGTGCTGTTGGGATCAGTTCCTGCTTGCAGGATTCCCATGGGGGCAACTGGTTGGCCACTGGGAGATTCCAACAGGCTCTTATGTTCTTCTGATGCAGATACCCTGTTACTTGCATTAAGGGATGTTCAAAGCGCTCCAGCTAGTTGGGGCAGATCATTCATCTGCCTGCCAATGGCACATTTGAAGAAAACAAGCTGTGAAAAATGTCAGCAAGAGGGCAAAAGAGAAAGAGAGGAGTGATTCTCCCATCAAGCTCACTTCCTCCTTTCATTTGCCTTTCTTTTCATTTTTTTTTTTACTTTTAACTGTCATTAAAATAACAAGTTTCTGTTCCAGTCTAAACATTCCCACATTGTATAAAGGGTTATGTTACACCAGAGTCACCGTTGGGCCCAGTGTTTGCACAGAAACCTCGCCGCAGGTCCCCCCCTTCCTGACAAAGTGACTTATTAAAGTTTAAACAGTAATTAACAGAACAATAAAAATAAAGGGATGTTTGGGGAGTCGTAGAGCACGCAGGGTTTTTTGGCAATCCCAGCAAAAAAAAAAAATGTGTGTGTGTTGTTGTTGTTTTATTTTGTTGTTGTTCCCAATACCCTGAGCTGGCAGGAAAAAAATGGCTATGAAACCAGAGGGGATGATCGGTAGAAGGGAGCTGGCGGTGGGGGGGGGGGGAGCGCAAAGGGAGTGCTGATGGAGAAAGGAAGCCCAAGTATTCAGTCAGTTGCCAGGGCAAAATGCAAAGGAGCTTGGGGTGGGGACGAAGCTCTTGCATGGAGGCTGTGTTTGTGTCTCTGTGTGTGATACTGGAATAGATCTGCATCTCTTAGGGGAGGCAGAATGAACCCTGGAGAAACCTTGGCAGATGTGGGCCTGAGCCAGAACGGGTCTTAAGGTCTCTCAATAACCCCAGCCAAGTCCCATACATGAGTCATCTGCATCAGTTAAGGTGGGGGGACGGACAGTTGTACCACTGGTCAGTTGGTTTGAGTGTGGTGCTGATAACACCAAGGTTACAGATTCAATCCCCATAAGGGACAGTCGCATATTCCTACATTGCAGGGGGTTGGACTAGATCAGTGTTTCCCAGTGTTTTTGGACTACAACTCCCATCATCCCTAGCTAGCAGGACTAGTGGTCAGGGATGATGGGCACTGTAGTCCAAAAACAACTGGAGACCGAAGTTTGGGAAACACTGGACTAGGTGATCCTCAGGGTCCCTTCCAACTCTACAGTTCTATGAAATGTCACTTAGGGCACAGTCAAACACTGATGAGGCAGTTGACTTAATGTGGATCCATCCATTACTGGAGACCAAGAGGTGTTTTTCCATAGCAGCGGTTCTCAAACTAGTTGCAGGAAACTCAACTAGATCGTACATGACAAATGGCCATCCAACCTCTGCTTAAAACCCTAAATGAAGGAGAGTCCACCACCTCTCATGGGAACCTGTTCCACTGTGTATTGCAAGTGTCTCATCCCTGGACCATTGACTGTACTGATCTGATAGTCATGTACATTCATTTCAAGGGGTCTAAGAGTAACACTAGCCTTGCTGGGAAACAGCTCTGAAATCATGCAACTGTACAGTCAGGAAGAAAAGCAAGGCTGGTAAAACACTGAGATCTTAGTCGTCCCCCTGAAATCTTTTTAAACATACACAGGCAGGAAGCTTTCAACTGCCTCCTGGGAGTGCTTGCATATCTTGGGGTAGGGTTGGGGGCAAAGCATGGATTGGGACCTTCACTTCTTCACAGAAGGAAGCGAGACAGTTATCTAGGCCTTGTTTCCTAGCTTCCATTTTGTAAATAGGTCATCAGCTACAATGGCAAGTGGGGGTGAGGGAGGGAAGAAAAAAACAATAATTAAGCATCGGAAAGTCTTGCTGCTCATTTGTAAATCCTGAGTCGAAAAGGCAGCAGTGACGGGGGGGGGGGGATGGGAACATTGTTGTTGAGCAGACCCAAAAGATCTCTGCCAGCATTTGCCCCAAGGCTGCATTCCCACAAACAAGAGCAGGCTTTGGGTGTACAGTATATATATTTCTGTGGCAGCAATTTAGCCAGACACCTAAAACCTTGAAATCCCGGGACTACGGAAAGAGTTTATGGAAAGCCGTGAAATATCCCAGTCCCCTTCTGCCTGCTTTCTAGAGGGAGAGGACCTTCCTCAAGGGGTGGAGAGGATCCTTTGACTCAGCTGCAATTCTAGGGAATAAAACAGGAGCAGGGGACTTCCTCCAGCCAGAGGGCCACATTCCCCCTATGAACATACTTCTGGGGGCCACAAGCCCATTTTGGATGGAGCTAGAGGGAAAAATGGGCAGAGCCTCTGTGTAGTGGGCTATGTTCCAGCTTTGTAAAAAGTCAGAGGTTTTCTACACATACACCTTTTCGCCCAGGCAAACCAGAGGTATTGTCACAGCTCAATGGCACAATCCAAGCAGGCACAAATTGTGCAAAGCTTTGGCCTGGGGAGAAGGGATGCATCCCAAGGGAAGAGTCCTGCACACAGGGAGGCCCGGAGGGCTGAACAAACCATCTAGCTCAATACTGTTTACACTGGCTGGCAGCAGTTCTCTGGGGTTTCAGGTAGGGAGTCTCTCCCAGC